CGTACTAAACCCTCCTTGGCCCCCTGGTTGTAACGTTCCACCTCCTACACTCCTCCCATCTATGCTCATAGAAACGAGCACTCGCGACAGACGACATTTGGGGAAACCTTTGCCATAGATTTATTTAATTGGTGATAAGTGATCCACGTTTTAATCTCGAAACCTGATCTCCACAAAAATACTTGTTTCGTATGTGAAGGAAGTCTGTGCCAATCGAAAGGTAACGAACACCGCCGTCCTTTAACCGTCGCACCGCCCTAGCCGCCCCAGTGCTCACTCGCATACCTGTTGAGCCGCACCACGCTCCCGTATTCCACAAGTTCCTGCTAGTTTACTACAATAAACCGCCATTTAAAATCGTCAAAGGTTTGCTAACAAGATGGGATTCTTCAGCAAATTCGCCTTGTTCGTTCTGAACTTCCTTGTGTTTGTAAGTATATATATATATTTTTTTTTTTACTCCAGAAAATATAAACGGAATACCACTAGTTTTGTTATGACTGGAGCCCCTGAGAATTTAAACAAATTACAAAGCGAGTATCAGCTATACAAGATCTCGTGCATATTCAAAAGTCGTACTATGGCCTAGTTTACCTCTTATTTTAAAGTCTCCTTGATGTTTATTGGCTAAGGCTCTCTAATTAGATAATTTGACACTTGTAGTATGCCTTCACTTTGTAAGACAGTAATTGTACTTGGATAACAAGGAATCCGCCCAAAAATCAGGCTAATGCGAACCCAAAGTTCCAAACCTAACCTTTCCTACCTTTCCCTAAGCAGACGGGCAAGGCCCCCATGTGCCCCCCTTTATTAGCATTTGATGCCAAATTAGAGAACGTGACACAAAACTTGGGCTGTGTGAGGGTGTTGCGGTCTTTGAGCGGTGATACAAAGCACCCATTTCCGTAATTTTGCGGGAAATAGGAGGCCGCTGTGCTGATTATTACTTTCTAATGCTCTAGATTCTAGAAGATGGCAGTGTCCATTCCCCTCCATCTTTGTGCGTCACTCTCAGTAACATTAACATAATATTGCGCAATGAATAATGAACTAACAAAATATGGCGCAACGTCCTGGCATGACCCTTATCGCTGGTTATCTCTAATATCACTGGTGTGCAACCGCCTTTCAAGCCACCCAGTATGGCGTAGTTAGCGCCGGAATTGTTTCTGAAATCGTAAATACTACAAGATCTTGACCACAACTTAATAACTTACTCGGCATAACATTGTAACATTTTGAAAGAAAAGTTCACGAACAGTAATTTACCTAGGTCTCCTGAAACTAGATTACCGTCATGATATGTAGTTTACATGTAGAAAAAGGTTATGTGTCATTCATGCACGCAAATGCAATTATATACTGTGTATATTTTTTGTATGCATAATTAAGCAACAAGTACAAAACTAAATTTTACATTGCCAGGATATCTTGTTATATTCACTTTTATTATGCTGTGACGTGACGTCTCTTTTTCAACAGGGAGTGGGCGTGGCCACAGTGGTACTCGCTTCAATCTTCATCTCTAAGAACGGTGAATATGGCAGCTTGCTTGCTAGCGGGACCTTCACTTTGCCGATTTGTATCCTGATTGCTGGACTCTGCATCCTCCTCCTGGGCTTCTTCGGTTGCTGCGGCGCCTTGAAAGAAAACACCTGTATGCTTCAGACGGTGGGTGCTGCCATTTGCTCGAGTCGGTTACCATTTTGCTATTTAAGCTTGTATCCATAACATTGAACATCAACGATCGCGACTTCGTATGAATATAATCATTGTTCTAATGGGCATTACCTTTCTAGTATGCGACTATCGTCCTGCTCTTGTTTATCGCCGAAGTGGTCCTGGGCATCCTGATCTTCGTCTACACCGATGAAGCTGAAGAAGTCGTTACTAAGGGAATGGAGAAGGTCTTCAACGATTATGGGCAGCGAGATGAAGCTCTCACTAAATCCCTTGATTTGGCCCAACAAAAGGTAAATTTTACAGTTTTTCATTAAATGTTCCATCACTTCGACCTTGCTCAGAACATCGTCTAGCCTAGTTCAAAACGACTGCTTTGCTAAATGTTTACCTTTTTTACAGCTTCACTGTTGCGGAGTTAACGGATACAAGGATTGGCTTAACTTTACCTTTGGAAACGAAACGGGTAATGTGGCCATGGGTTGTTGCTTAGAACAAACTGAAAAATGCTACGAAGGAGTAGCTTACAAACCGGAAGAAACCGCAAAACAAACCATCTACACTGAAGGGTGCTATCAAGCTGTCAAGGATGATCTGCAGAATGTTGTGGTTGCTTTGGGAGTTACCACTTTAATCCTTGGTCTCGTTCAAGTAAGTTTATATAACATGCGAGTTCTTTCACATGCATAGTTCTAAAATGCGTTACAACTACTACCTGAAATAACTTGTCCTTAATTGCATACGTATCTTCCCACAGCTTGCAAGCATTAGTTGTGCTTGCGGTCTTGCCAAGAATTCCAGGGGATACGCGTAAGGAGAGGCGCCGGCGTCAGGGCAACCCATTCTTCATGCCTTCTGTTGGAGCCACGCGACAGATATTCATGTGGTGAATTTCCTATATCTATTTAATATTCTTATCGATAATAGATGAATGATTCACCCTACCAAGATAATTACAAATTTTTAATATTTTAATTCTATTGTGCACCGGAGAACAGCAGGAGCCTAAGTGTCCAGAAATAGCCACTCCCAGTACCTAATTTCTCTGATTGTCTGGAATTTGAACTGATAAGACTTCCTATTTAATTGAAACACCAGGAGATGGAACTCGGTGCTTATATTTTCTCCCAATGATTTCTACTTTGTGCATTCCTCAATCGTGTAGCGATTTGTGGGTTGCCATGAATGGACGTATATTCCAGTTATTGTGATTTAATAAAAGCTGCTACTACCTTTTTTGTATTGTATAATTATCCTCTTAATCCCATGCATATATAGCAGGCAAAGAAAGTGTAGATGCTCTGGTATATGAGCGAAATAAGATACTACATGCATTAAATATAGAAATGGTAATTTAGGGTTTGCTAATAATGGTTGAAAATTTTCATTTAAATAGTTAACCGTCTATTAACATGTCTTATTTATTAAACAATTTGACACCAATGTTTTAACTACATAGTCGAGGTAGGCCACTTCAAAAAAACATCGTTATGAATCTCTACAGGAAATGGTTATTTACATGTAAATCTAACCTCCGCATCCCTTGTTCGTTGGGGGTGGCGGCTTGGACTGCTGCCTTAACCTCAGCCCTCGACTTACAGAAGAATTCAACATAAGCTTTCATTGTCCTCCTTCGTTCCCTTTGGTCCACTTCTAATTGTTAATAAATTCGCTTTTACCCTTTTCGCCATAATATTTTATCATGCTGCATGACCTTTCATGTCTGGCACCTTGGTTAAATGGTCAAAACAATTCTGGAAATCCACAAACCTCGCCTTACTGAATGATGACGTTCAGATTTTGACGTGACAGAAAATTTTAAATATATCACGGACTGGAAGTAGTTTTTTTTTTTAGCCAAACTAAAATTAAAAGAAATGACAAACGCATGCTTAATAGATTTTAATTTAGAGTAAATTCAAAATGTTAAATCTAGGAGTGATGGTGATAGCGGTAAGAAATGCATGCATATTTAATATATAGACCATGTGCTACCTTTTTTATAGTAAGGTATCCAAAAATTAAACATTTCCTTTCAAACATGTAAACAAGACACGTATAGGAACTAGCCTAATGCTTGCCCCGCCCCCCAATCCCTTGCTCGTTGTAGTGTGTGTGTGGGGGGGGGGGGGTAGATACTCAATGGAAGGGATCAGCCCTGCCTTGGACCTCAGCCCTCGCCTCAACTAATTTTGCGGGGTCTTTTCTTCTCCCCTTTCCCTTTCCTGCTCTTCGTCATCCCCTTCCTCTGTCCACTTCTATCTACTTCGTCATCCCCTTCATCTATCATCCTCTTCATCAACTTCTGTCCACCTATCCTAATCGCTATTATTTTTACCCTTTTCACCACAATACTTAATGCTATACTTAATGCTTCGCCGCACAAGCCCCACCCTATCGCTGTATTCTGAAAACGCCGCTGATTGACCTTACATTTTCAATAAACATATATAATGCGAGTTCACTAAAATCATGCATGAAGATCCACCCCCACATTTTACAGGTCACGCAGGTACCCCCTAGCCGTTTTAAAGATATTTCGTTTGTCACATTTGAAAAGTAAATAATGATAGATAATCAGAATAGGAAGTATAAAGTATAGGGCACTATTACGTATAAACATATATCTAAATCAGTTTTTGCACTAAATCTATGAACAAATTGAAAAGGGTTAATTTACACCTCCAGCAATGGAGCTTCCCGTGCGCTCTCCCCATAGAGCAAGGCGAACTGGAGTCGATGTTGACAACGTCGCTTTCTCTCTTTGATGACTTTTCGTCATGAACCCCAACTGCATGTAGTCGTTTCCTTCACCGTGTAGGTTGTTTCCGGGAGCTGTAGATCTTTATATGATTTTTTGCTGCCTTGGTGAAGGGGCATCCGGAACGAGAGTCCACCTTATTCACCTGTAAACTATCGACCGGGAGATACCTGGCTCTGGATTTTTCAGTGGGAGAGAAATTAGTTTCCTCCACCCCAGTGATGCGGCCTCGAATTGCAATTTCAGCTTGCCTTGCGTTCATCTTGGAAAGGTGTCCGCTTGGCAGCCTCGTTTCCACCTCAGATTTCCCGTATGTCATTATAGCGTCATACACCATCGGACTTATTTTCTTTTTTATTTAGCTTATATGAGTAGCCACAAAATTAACATAGAGCAATTTATGAATATTCCTTATAATAAAGAGTAGCAAATATACGAATTCGTGTTATTTTTTCCCTAGATGGTTCCTCTTTCTGCAAAGTATTATATCAATAATTTTTCAGTCAATGGATCAAAACTCTGACATGCACTGGCAAATAAAAGGAAAATATAAATTGCA